CACATGCTATGCCCTTGTTCTTTTTATTTTGCACACGCTAGGCCCTTGTTCTTTTTATTTTGCACACGCTAGGCCCTTGTTCTTTTTATTTTGCACACGCTAGGCCCTTGTTCTTTTTATTTTGCACGCGCTAGGCCCTTGTTCTTTTTATTTTGCACACGCTAGGCCCTTGTTCTTGCTATTTTGCACACGCTATGCCCTTCTTCTTGCTATTTTGCACACGCTAGGCCCTTGTTCTTGCAATTTTGCACATGCTAGACCCTTGTTCTTTTTATTTTGCACACGCTAGGCCCTTGTTCTTGCTATTTCGCGAAGGCTAGGCCCTTGTTCTTGATTTTTTGCACACGCTAGGCCCTTGCTCTTGCTATTTTGCACTCGCTAGGCCCTTGTTCTTTTTATTTTGCACACGCTAGGCCCTTGTTCTTGCAATTTTGCACACGCTAGGCCCTTGTTCTTTTTATTTTGCACACGCTCTGCCCTTATTCTTTTTATTTTGCACATGCTATGCCCTTGTTCTTTTTATTTTGCACACACTAGGCCCTTGTTCTTTTTATTTTGCACACGCTAGGCCCTTGTTCTTTTTATTTTGCACACGCTAGGCCCTTGTTCTTTTTATTTTGCACGCGCTAGGCCCTTGTTCTTTTTATTTTGCACACGCTAGGCCCTTGTTCTTGCTATTTTGCACACGCTATGCCCTTGTTCTTTTTATTTTGCACACGCTAGGCCCTTGTTCTTGCAATTTTGCACATGCTAGAGCCTTGTTCTTTTTATTTTGCACACGCTAGGCCCTTGTTCTTGCTATTTCGCGAAGGCTAGGCCCTTGTTCTTGATTTTTTGCACATGCTAGGCCCTTGCTCTTGCGATTTTGCACTCGCTAGGCCCTTGTTCTTGCAATTTTGCACACGCTAGGCCCTTGTTCTTGCAATTTTGCACACGCTAGACCCTTGTTCTTTTTATTTTGCACACGCTAGGCCCTTGTTCTTGCAATTTTGCACATGGTAGACCCTTGTTCTTTTTATTTTGCACACGCTAGGCCCTTGTTCTTGCTATTTCGCGAACGCTAGGCCCTTGTTCTTGATTTTTTGCACACGCTAGGCACTTGCTCTTGCAATTTTGCACACGCTAGGCCCTTGTTCTTGCTATTTTGCACACGCTATGGCCTTGTTCTTTTTATTTTGCTCACGCTAGGCCCTTGTTCTTTTAATTTTGCACACGCTAGGCCCTTGTTCTTGCAATTTTGCACATGCTAGACCCTTGTTCTTTTTATTTTGCACACGCTATGCCCTTGGTCTTGCTATTTCGCGAACGCTAGGCCCTTGTTCTTGATTTTTTGCACACGCTAGGCCCTTGCTCTTGCTATTTTGCACTCGCTAGGCCCTTGTTCTTTTTATTTTGCACACGGTAGGCCTTTGTTCTTGCAATTTTGCACACGCTAGGCCCTTGTTCTTTTTATTTTGCACACGCTAGGCCCTTATTCTTTTTATTTTGCACATGCTATGCCCTTGTTCTTTTTATTTTGCACACGCTAGGCCCTTGTTCTTTTTATTTTGCACACGCTAGGCCCTTGTTCTTTCTATTTTGCACGCGCTAGGCCCTTGTTCTTGCAATTTTGCACACGCTAGGCCCTTGTTCTTGCTATTTTGCACACGCTATGCCCTTGTTCTTTTTATTTTGCACACGCTAGGCCCTTGTTCTTGCAATTTTGCACATGCTAGACCCTTGTTCTTTTTATTTTGCACACGCTAGGCCCTTGTTCTTGCTATTTCGCGAACGCTAGGCCCTTGTTCTTGATTTTTTGCACACGCTAGGCCCTTGCTCTTGCTATTTTGCACTCGCTATGCCCTTGTTCTTGCAATTTTGCACACGCTAGGCCCTTGTTCTTGCAATTTTGCACACGCTAGGCCCTTGTTCTTGCAATTTTGCACACGCTAGGCCCTTGTTCTTGCAATTTTGCACACGCTAGGCCCTTGCTCTAACTATTTCGCGAACGCTAGGCACTTGTTCTTGATTTTTTGCACACGCTAGGCCCTTGCTCTTGCTATTTTGCACTCGCTAGGCCCTTGTTCTTGCAATTTTGCACACGCTAGGCCCTTGTTCTTGCAATTTCGCACACGCTAGGCCCTTGTTCTTTTTATTTTGCACACGCTAGGCCCTTGTTCTTGCTATTTTGCACACGCTCTGCCCTTGTTCTTTTTATTTTGCACACGCTAGGCCCTTGTTCTTTTTATTTTGCACACGCTATGCCCTTGTTCTTTTTTATTTTGCACACGCTAGGCCCTTGTTCTTTTTATTTTGCACGCGCTAGGCCCTTGTTCTTTTTTATTTTGCACACGCTAGGCCCTTGTTCTTTTTATTTTGCACACGCTATGCCCTTGTTCTTTTTATTTTGCACACGCTAGGCCCTTGTTCTTGCAATTTTGCACATGCTAGACCCTTGTTCTTTTTATTTTGCACACGCTATGCCCTTGGTCTTGCTATTTCGCGAACGCTAGGCCCTTGTTCTTGATTTTTTGCACACGCTAGGCCCTTGCTCTTGCTATTTTGCACTCGCTAGGCCCTTGTTCTTTTTATTTTGCACACGGTAGGCCTTTGTTCTTGCAATTTTGCACACGCTAGGCCCTTGTTCTTTTTATTTTGCACACGCTAGGCCCTTATTCTTTTTATTTTGCACATGCTATGCCCTTGTTCTTTTTATTTTGCACACGCTAGGCCCTTGTTCTTTTTATTTTGCACACGCTAGGCCCTTGTTCTTTCTATTTTGCACGCGCTAGGCCCTTGTTCTTGCAATTTTGCACACGCTAGGCCCTTGTTCTTGCTATTTTGCACACGCTATGCCCTTGTTCTTTTTATTTTGCACACGCTAGGCCCTTGTTCTTGCAATTTTGCACATGCTAGACCCTTGTTCTTTTTATTTTGCACACGCTAGGCCCTTGTTCTTGCTATTTCGCGAACGCTAGGCCCTTGTTCTTGATTTTTTGCACACGCTAGGCCCTTGCTCTTGCTATTTTGCACTCGCTATGCCCTTGTTCTTGCAATTTTGCACACGCTAGGCCCTTGTTCTTGCAATTTTGCACACGCTAGGCCCTTGTTCTTGCAATTTTGCACACGCTAGGCCCTTGTTCTTGCAATTTTGCACACGCTAGGCCCTTGCTCTAACTATTTCGCGAACGCCAGGCACTTGTTCTTGATTTTTTGCACACGCTAGGCCCTTGCTCTTGCTATTTTGCACTCGCTAGGCCTTTGTTCTTGCAATTTTGCACACGCTAGGCCCTTGTTCTTGCAATTTCGCACACGCTAGGCCCTTGTTCTTTTTATTTTGCACACGCTAGGCCCTTGTTCTTGCTATTTTGCACACGCTCTGCCCTTGTTCTTTTTATTTTGCACACGCTAGGCCCTTGTTCTTTTTATTTTGCACACGCTATGCCCTTGTTCTTTTTTATTTTGCACACGCTAGGCCCTTGTTCTTTTTATTTTGCACGCGCTAGGCCCTTGTTCTTTTTTATTTTGCACACGCTAGGCCCTTGTTCTTTTTATTTTGCACACGCTATGCCCTTGTTCTTTTTATTTTGCACACGCTAGGCCCTTGTTCTTGCAATTTTGCACATGCTAGACCCTTGTTCTTTTTATTTTCCACACGCTAGGCCCTTATTCTTGCTATTTCGCGAATGCTAGGCCCTTGTTCTTGATATTTTGCACACGCTAGGCCCTTGCTCTTGCTATTTTGCACTCGCTAGGCCCTTGTTCTTGCAATTTTGCACACGCTAGGCCCTTGTTCTTGCAGTTTTGCACACGCTAGGCCCTTGCTCTTGCTATTTCGCGATCGCTTGGCCCTTGTTCTTGATTTTTGGCACACGCTAGTGTCAGAACATATAGCTTACCTGTTTGTGTAGGCTACAGTGGGGTATCCCATAAGGGGTACAACACAATTAGGTTTCCCATTTGTACCAATTTCTGACTTAGTCATTTTCATTCCTGTCTACCTATCTTCACATGGTATAGAGCGGGTCCCTCTTAAGGACCGATTTTTTTTTGGGCCCACCCTCGATATTCTCTCTGCCCGGAGCGCCCTACTCTCCCCGAGGCGCGCTCCCCCCCTCCCCCTTAGTGCATTTCCCGCTGCCTTTGTGGGCCCCCCCGCGAGTAGCGCGCGAAATTTTTTTTTTAGCGCGCGCGGCTCGGGCCCACGTCGCGCGGGCTTTACGGCCGCGCCGCGCTGCCCTCTCGGCCCGGCTGTGCCCCGCCGCCCTCGAATCGGCCACGCGGCCGCTTCGTCGCGGCCGCGGGCCCCGTTTTTGACGGCCCCGCCGTCCCTTTTTTGACGGCCCGCCGCTGCATTCTGCCGGCCCCGCCGTTTCCTGTCACGGCCCCGCCGTCCCCTCTCCCGGCCTCGCCGCTGCACCTTCCCGGCCCGCCGCTGAGCCCTGACGGCCCGCCGCTGCACCTTTTGACGGCCCGCCGCTGCACCTTTTTACGGCCCGCCGCTGCACCCTGACGGCCCGCCGCTGTACCTGCTGACGGCCCGCCGCTGCACCCTGACGGCCCCGCTGCTGTACCTGCTGACGGCCCGCCGCTGCACCCTGACGGCCCCGCCAGTACACACCCGGCCCCGCCGTCCCCTGTCACGGCCCGCCACTGCACCTGTCCAGGCCCCGCCGCTGCACTGCAGCCGGCCCGCCCAGCAGCAGCCGAGCCGCCCAGCAGCAGCCGAGCCGCCCAGGAGCAGCCGGACCGCCCAGCAGCAGCCGAGCCGCCCAGCAGCAGCCGGACCGCCCAGCCGCAGCCGAGCCGCCCAGCAGCAGCCGAGCCGCCCAGCAGCAGCCGGACCGCCCAGCAGCGGCCGAGCCGCCCAGCAGCACCCGAGCCGCCCCACAGCTGCCGAGCTGCCCGGGAGTCGATCCGCCTTTCTACTGAGCTGCACGACTTGCCCTGCCTGGTGAGCACAGTCCCTCTGTCACTGCGCCCTCTTTCCCTACTGCTTGCACTGCTTCGCTGTCGTCATCATGGCCACCCCTAGTGTCCTAGCCTTTGACGCCGAGGGTCGAGCCATTGATTTTGAGGTCTGGCTAGACGACCTGCAGCTTTTCTTACAGTGCGACAGAGCTGACAGCCTTTCTCTCTTTGACCTCACCTCTGGCGCCTCTCCTGCTCCTGCTGCCGATGCTGATCCCACTGTCCGCTCTCAGTGGGCCACCCGCGATGCTGCTGCACGTCTTGCTGTGCGTCGCCACCTCCCTACCTCTGAGCGTGCGCACTTTAGTCAGTACAAGAGTGCTCAGACCTTGTACGACGCTGTAGTTGCGCGCTACTCCTCCCCTGCCACTGCTGCACTGAGCCGTCTCATGCTTCCCTACCTCTTTCCTGACCTCTCTGTCTTTCCCACTGTCACTGACCTCATTACGCACCTCCGCACTAGTGACACTCGCTACCGCGCCGCCCTTCCTGCTGAGTTCTGCGCTAAGAACCCCCCCCCCCATGTACATCACTCTCTACTACGTAGTCGCGCGCCTCCCTGACTCCCTCCGCGTAGTCAGGGACCACTTTCTCGCAGTCTGTCCCACCACTCTCACCGTCGACCTCCTCGAGAAGGCCCTCCTCGCAGCGGAGAAGAGCATAGTCGCTGTAGGTGCCTCTCGTGGTGACCCTCGCACCCCCATCTTTGAGGGGTGCTCTCCTTCCCCCTTGCTGCCCTCTGTTGCCTCTGCTGCTGCGGCCGACCTGCTTGGTCTTGAGTCGGTCGGCGCGGCGTCTGCCCCTAGTGGGAGACGTCGCTCTAGCAAGGGCAAGGGGGGCAAGGGCGCGGGCGGAGCTGGAGGGGGCGGTGGCGGTGGCGGCGGAGGCGGCGGAGGGAGTGGGGGTGGTGGCGGGAGTAGTGGTGGTGGTGGTGGTGGTGGTGGCAGCAGCGGCGGAGACGGTAGTGGTAGTGCCAGCGGTGGTGGTGGAGGCAGCAGCGGGAGCGGAGGCGGTGGAGGTGGAGGCAGTGGAGGCGGCGGCGGAGGAGGCGGTGGTGGTGGAGGAGGTGGAGCTGGTCGTGGTGGTACCCAGCAGCGGAGCGGCGGTGGTGGTGCCCAGCGCTCGCAGCGGCAGCAGCAGCAGCGTTCGCGGGACATCCCTCCGCCTCAGCAGCTTCGTGAGTGGTACGCTGCGCGTCAGAGGGGTGGGGGTACTGGTCCCTGCGCCTACGTTCTTCGTTCCGGCGACCGCGCGGGTGAGCAGTGTGGGGGTGCCCACTCCACCCAGCGCTGCTTTGGCCGCCTCACGGACGCTTGGCGTCAGCAGTTCCCCGGGGCTAGTGAGATCCCTCGCTGGGATGAGCTCCTTAGGGCTGGTGTAGCGATCTTTGATCTTGATTTTGATGCTATCCTTTCTGCTCTGTATGCTGTGACTTATAGTGAGGAGCATGAGGGTTACCGGTGTTTCCAGCCCGACCCGGGCATTGGTACTGCTGCGCTAGGTACTTGTGAGGCTGCTGCTCTAGGTGCCAGTGCGTCTGCGCTCTCAGGTACTAGTGAGACTGCGCTCTCAGGTGCTGGTGAGACTGCGCTCTCAGGTACTGCGTCGCCCTCGTCCTCCCTCACTTTCACACTTGACTCTGGGGCTTCTCGCTCCTTCTTTCGAGACCGCACTACCCTTACGCCTCTTGGCCGGCCGGTTGCGGTCTCCCTTGCTGACCCCTCTGGGGGTCCTGTCCTGTCTCACTTCTCCACTGTCCTCCCGTGTCCGGCTGACCCTTCGGGCACCCTGTCTGGTCTGTACCTTCCCTCGTTCTCTACGAACTTGGTGAGTGGTGCGGACCTACAGGATGCGGGGGTTCACCAGTTCACTCCTGCGAGGCGACGGGTGACCCACTGCACGGACGCAGACACAGGCCGACACCTGGCCACCTTTTCGCGTCGGCCAGGGTCGAGTCTCTACACCCTGACCACTTCGTCTCCTCCTGTCCCTGCGTCTGGTCAGGTAGCTGCGTCAGGTCAGGTGTTTGCTGCTGCTTCCAGGTCAGGTCCTGAGTCTGCCCCCTGTTCTTGTCGCCTCCTGTCTCACGAGACTCTCCTGTGGCACCACCGTCTTGGCCACCCCTCCTTGCCCCGTCTTCGGAGCATGGCTTCCCGTGTCCTTGTCTCTGGTCTTCCCCAGTCTCTCCCTCCTCTCCCCTCCGGGCCAGGACCTTCCTGTGTCCCCTGTGTCGAGGGTCGCCTCCGAGCTACTCCTCACTCCTCCCACTTCCCCCCGACAGAGGCTCCCCTGCAGACGCTTCACATGGATGTGTGGGGCCCAGCCCCCGTCCGTGGGCAGGGTTACGAGCGCTACTTCCTGTTGGTGGTTGACGACTACTCGCGTTACACCACAGTCCTCCCCTTGCGCAGCAAGGGTGCGGTCACTGAGGTGCTGATCGACTGGATCCGCGAGGCTCGTCTCCAACTCACGAAGAGCTTCGGCTCGGACTTTCCTGTTCTGCGTCTGCACTCGGACAGAGGCGGAGAGTTCTCTTCTCGCCTTCTGCGAGACTACTGTCGTGCACGGGGGATCCGCCAGACCTTCACGCTTCCGGACTCACCACAGCAAAATGGGATTGCTGAGCGCCGCATTGGCATGGTCATGGATGTCGCTCGTACGTCCATGATGCATGCGGCTGCCCCCCATTTTCTGTGGCCGTTTGCTGTGAGGTACGCGGCGCATCAGCTCAACCTTCACCCCCGGGTCTCTCGGCCTGCGATGTCCCCAGTCTTGCTGTGGACAGGGAAGGTTGGCGATGCGTCTGTGTTCCGTGTCTGGGGATCTCGGGCGTTTGTCCGCGACTTGTCTGCCGACAAGCTGTCCCCCCGTGCTGCTCCCTGTGTCTTCCTTGGCTTCCCCACTGACGCCCCAGGGTGGCAGTTTTACCACCCCTCCTCTCGTCGTGTTCTGTCCTCCCAGGACGTCACGTTCGACGAGTCAGTCCCCTTCTACCGTCTCTTCCCCTACCGCACTCCTTCCCTCCCCCCTCCCCCGGACTTCCTTGTGCCGGTTCCCCCCCCGGTCGACCCCCTCCCCCCTCAGGTTCCTGCCCCCTCAGGTGTGTCCCAGGTAGACGCCGTTGACCCGGTCGAGGTTACTGGTGACTCTGGTGCTGCTGCGGGTGCTGAGCCTGGGGGTGCTGACTCTGGGGGTGCTGACCCTGAGGGTGCGGGGCCTGGGGGTGCTACTGCTGGGGGTGCTGGGCCTGGGGGTGCTACTGCGGTGGGTGCGGAGCCTGGGGGTACTGGGCCGGGGGGTGCTGTGCCTGGAGGTGCTGAGTCTGGGGGTGCTGAGCTGGGAGCTGCTGGGCCTGAGGGTACTGAGCTGGGAACTGCTGAGCCTGGGGGTGCTGCGCCTAGAGTTGCTGAGCCTGGGGTTTCTCCTGCTGCTGCGTCTCGCCGGGAGCCCCTCTCTCCACCGGAGCTGCGCGAGTGGTTCGCTCGCCGCTGGAGGCGTGCTGCTGAGTCTGGAGGTGCTGCTGGAGCTGGAGCTGGAGCTTCTTCGACCGTCGAGGGTGCGGGTGCTGCCGGTCCCGGAGCTGCTGGACCTACTGGTCCTCCTGGAGCTGGAGCTGCTGAGGGCGTTGGTGCTGAGCCTGCTGCTGTTGGACCTGCCGCTGGAGGTGTGGGTGGCGCTGGTGCTGTCGCTGAGGGTGCTGGTACTGTCCCTGCTGAGTCTGGAGCTGCCGCGCGGCCTCGGCCGTACTTCGTTCCGCTCCTGCAGCAGGTTCTTGGTCTTTCTCCTCCTGTAGAGGGTCCACCGCCTGTCCAGTCGCAGTCCCTACTGGAGCCTTCCTCTTCGCTGCCTGCTCCCTCTCCTTACACTGGTCCTACTGGAGGTCTTGCTGAGCGCCGTGAGCCTGCGTCTCGTCCCGCGTCGCCTGTTCGTGCTGCTCGCGCTAGTGGTCGCAGTTCGCGTCAGCGTCCTCCTCCTGTCCCTGGCACGCATCGGATGTCTCTGCGTCCGTCCACTGCTCCTCTGCGTGCCCCTTTGCCATCTCCTCCTGAGTCCTCTCTTCCTGCGCTTGCCGACCCTGAGTCGGACTCTCTTCGCGCTGCCAGTCCTACTGTCACGCGTCTGCTTGCTACTGTCGTCACTGACCCCTCGTTTGAGTCCACTGCTGCGTCTGCTCTGGTCGCTGAGCTCGTTGACTTTGCTGCTCGCTGTCGTCTCGACTACGCTGCTAGTCTTGTTGCTGAGTCTGTGTCTGGCTGTCCTCTGTCCGTCAGGGGTGAGTGTGCTCTTGGCACGGACGTCCTAGAGGACAGGCAGGAGGAGTTACAGTGTCTAGCGGCTGCTTCACCTCATCTCGCGTCTGTACTGCTTGCCCCTGAGGGAGACCCGGATGCACTAGACATCCCGACTCCGCGTTCTTACGCGGAGGCCGTAGAGGGTCCCTACTCCTCTCAGTGGCAGGCAGCTATGGATGCAGAGATGGCTTCCTGGAAGTCCACAGGCACCTACGTTGACGCAGTTCCCCCTCCTGGGGCGAACATCGTCAGTGGCATGTGGATCTTCAGGGTGAAGCGACCGCCGGGCTCTCCACCTGTCTTCAAGGCACGGTACGTTGCTCGTGGCTTCA